AATTTAATAGATTAACTTTTAATTTTCAAGATGATCCTTCTGCTTCATCTTGATAATTTCTTTGTAAATATTTATTTACTTTGTAATTTCTAATTTGTATAGTGTTTATTGTAATTTGTAATCTTGTATAGACTTTGTAAGTTCATCAAATTTGTAATTCGTCCCACAATGATTGCACTCTTTTTTTCTTACCAAGTTTTTATCCCAATTGAGTTTTTCTTGGTAAGGTTTTTAATGAGGCAATCATGAATTACAAATTTAAAAATCAATGAAGAAGTAATTTTTTTTATATAGTTCGTTTGTGTTGTGTGTTCATTTCATATTTTAAATTATAATATACACAATTACACATTGTAATTATACAAATACTTATTTCAACAACATAAAAATATAATATAAAAAAAAAAATTTCGGGCAGCCGGTCGTTCATCGGGCAGCCCGACCGGGCATGGGCAGGCTTCCTCTGCCCGAAGCCCGTCCATGGGAATTTTCGGGTCGGGTCGGGCAGTCTGAATTTTCGGGCAGATCGGGTTCGGTCATCGGGTAAAAATTTGGACTTTTCGGTGGTCACGGGCGGCCCGTCCAATGTTTCAGCACTGCTTTCAACTACAATTTTTTTTTAGGGGTTAAAGTTCAGAATATTTAAAACAAAAGATGTGTTTTTACACAAATGGAATCGGAGGTGTTAGTTATTACCATTTTTTTTTTTTTTTTTTTTTGCTGAAATATAGTTATTACCAAATTTTGAAGCTCAAAATCCATTCAGAATTTGGACAAAATTAGATGGAAGGAGGAGAAAATAACATATTTTAAATTTTAAGGCATAGCTCCAAACAGATCATAAGAAATTTAAAATGTGTTCGTAACAATACAATAATATTATACGTCTCATGTGTTTATTAGATATTTTTGTACTAAACACCGTACCATAAAAATCGTTCTTTTTAGAAATATGAAAATTGATATCGAGTAGGGCATGTTGTTTTCGTAAAGCACACTTTTTAAGTCATTTAATTAAATTATTATAAATAAATTTATGAATATCTACATTAAAAATAATGCACGATATAAAAATGTTTTCTCGTAGATTAGACTTTTAAACAAATGATTAAAAATCTTACTCAACTAATAGTGCAAAATAACATCCCCACCATATTTTTTTTAGTTTTTTTATTAGAGAGTTCGTCAATGAAAAATGTGATTACTAATTAAAAATGAGCAACTTATTTACCAGAAGACTTCGTACATACAGTTTGATATATCTTGACAATCTGAATCCCTCATATTGTCCAAAAATATAACCCAAACATAAAGGAGCAATTCTGTTAACCTTGGGAATCGGTCATTTTCTACAACACAAACCGGTTTTTTTTATTATTTTTTATTTAAATTACTTTAAAAGAATCAATCTTACTAGTATCTCGCAATTTTAGAGTCATTTTCGGTTTATCTTTTGAATTTTGAAAGTCTCATCTTACCCCTTAAATTTTAAATTAGTCTAACTTAATTCTTTTTATTAGAATCAAATTTAAATTAATCTAACTTAATTCTTTTTATTAGAATTCTAATTAAGATCAAACGAAAAGAGAAAGCTAATTGTAGTCATTTATTTATTTATATTTTATTTTTAAGAGAAATTCTAAAAAAAGAGACAACGTAATTGCATTCTCTCTCTATTTTTTTTTTTTTTTTTTACTTTTTGTAATAAACAATGATTAAGTAAGCCTAATTCAAAATTCAACAAACAAAATGAGAGCTTTTAAAATGTCATAATAGGAAAAATATAAATATTGAGAAATTATAATAAATAGCGTATTTATAAAACTAAATTAAATAAATATTAGATTTTAAAATTATTTAAAGTAAATAGCAGTTTAATATGTAAATCACTTACGATTAGTAAAAAATAATTTACATGGTAAAAAATCTTTTTATTTGTTGTGAAAAGAAATTTTACATTATTAAAAAAAATTATGTGAAATTTTTTTTCTAGTCATAAATGAAATATTTTCGTAATAAACTGTTATTTACTTTAAATAATTTTAAAATATGTTATTTACTTCAATTATTTTTTTTATAAATTGCTATTTACTTCATTATCCTAAAAATATTTAAGATTAAATTAAAAGGACAAATTACACGTTTTTCTCCTAAACTATAGGCATTGTCATAAAATGTACCCTGAACTTTAGTTTTAGCTTTTTTTCTCCCGAACTTTAATAACTCTTGTAAATTTTCTCCCTCAACTAAATTTTTGATGGAAAATTTCATGTGAAATGCAAAAACTAATAAAAAACTCATTATGTAAAGATTTTTAATAAAAATATCACGTATTACACAAATAATGAGTGTCATTGAACCATTTTTAGTATACAATTACTTTATTAGCTTCATTTCATTTAGTCACACAAAAGTGTAATTACATAATAAGAGTTGTCATTTTTTACTATATTAATTTTCTCTTAATTTATCTGACCTAAAGAACCATAGAGATTTATCTATAGCGGCCAATAACAGTAACAGAAGTAAAACTTTATCAGAGAGAATAATTTATAAAAATTACCGAAATTCAGGAGAAAAAAATTAAATTAAAAATTCATGAGACATTTTGTGAAAATATGCAATTTACCTCAAAATTTAAAATGTGAATAAAGAGAGGCACAAATGGCCGAAGCAGAATACAAAGACGTGGGGGCTTTGAAATTCTCATCGCATAAACGTAATCTGCTTGCTTCCTTACGTTATATTCCTTTTCTCCTCCACTCACAAAACCCATTTCCGTTTCACTCACCGTCTCACATAAACTACTAAAAAAAAAAAGCAAAAAAAAAAAAAAAAGTAATAAAATATAAAAAAGGAATATACTCGGGCACTCGTCTTCTTCAAACTTAAAGGTAAAGCCACCTTATAAATCACAGTATTCCGCATAATATACATATCTCATCTGTGATTTCTCTTGGTTTTATCGCATTTTCTCTGATTTCTGAGCTGAGGAAGAAGGAGAAAAATGGTGGTGTTCAACGTTTCCAAGGTCGAGACCACGCCTTTCGATGGCCAGAAGCCTGGTACCTCCGGCCTCCGCAAGAAGGTTGGATCTTTTTTTCTTTCGCTCAATACTTTTCCATTTCCATTTTCTTATTTCGAATCTCTTTGGATTCTTCTGTTTTTCTTGCGATTTCCCGTCGATCGTTCGTCAGCGCGGCGTTTTTCTTTGTTTTCTATGGAAATTTCTGCTTCAATCACAATTTGATACTGGCCGATTGGTGGATCGCTTTGGCGCAATCGGAATTGCGCCATTTTGATCTCCAATTGGATCAAAGGGATCCGTTTCTGATTTCGGATTTCGAGAAATTAGACGCGATCTTGTATTAGTACTCAGCACAGTCATCGACGTAGCTTACGATCAGTAAATCTAGCGATGGAATGAAATTAAAAAGCTATGGTATTTTTGATTAAATATTCTTCTCTAAATTGTATAAAAGGCACGAGATTTTAATTTATCTAAACTAGTATATTTCTTATATTTTGGCGACCAATTATTTAAGGAGAGATTCATTATGTTCATGTTAAAAGTCGCGGCATTGATCACTAGTGTATGTAAAAGTAGAACGGACTCTTTTCCATTCTGTTGTAGACGAGCTTTGCGGAGTAGTGGAGTAATTGAAACGTATCAGATCGAGTATTGTTTTTATTCTTGTATCAGAAAGTAGTCAATCGTCTTCTTATGTGTTTTAGTTGGTTTCTATTGTTAACATACTTGTTTATTAAGATAATCTGCTAATATTTAATTGGCTAGCGTTAAGTTTAAAACACCTCTCTACATTTAAAAAAAATAAAAAATAAAAAGTGAGCTTCTTGGATCTTTCAATTTAAAAAAAAAAAAAAGAGAAAGAAGAAGACGAAAACGAGCTACTACTACTTGGTCCTTTGTCTGGTAATTACATCTTTTTGTTATATAATTTGGAGAACATACCATTGGAATCGTTAAACTAAAACCAAAATAATAATAATAAGTAAATAAAATTAATTAGTATACATTTGTGAATTTTGGAGTTTAATGAAATTGAGTTTGCTTGCTTCTAACTTCTAAGGTTTGAAATGTCTTTATCATGCTAGATTATTCCATTTAGATTGCTATTGTTTCTAAAATATGTTATTTAAAAATTATGGTTTTTGGATCTCTTCAGGTGAAGGTTTTTGTTCAGCCTCATTACTTGCAAAATTTTGTTCAGTCAACCTTCAATGCCCTCTCTGGAGAAAAAGTTAGAGGTAGGATCTTTTCTTATCCTACAAATATCTTTCTATGCTTATATGTAGGTAATAGGGGCATGCGTATGTGTTAACGTATATTAGATCCATTAATTATTTCCGTTCCTTCTTATACAATAAAAAGTTATATAAAGTCTCAACTCAAAAGTGAAAATTGAAGCTTAAGGTAGTAAGATCACTTGGTCTATTGGAGTAAACTCATGTTGGAAGTTCACATGCATTTCAGATAAGGAACTAATGTAGGATTCTTAAAAAGAAAGAAAAATTATGCTGGCTTACTTTTCATTGGCATAATTTCTTTACCAATGCTAAATACTTTCCTTTATATTGTGGCCTATGATTGAAATGTTGCACGGTGAAATTATCATATATTATTTGGAATTTATTATTCTTATTTTTTTCTCCTTTTTTGGGTTTTTTTGGGGACCCCTTAATGTGTTTCTGCTTTTTTACTGTGTCTACTAAGTTATGTTTCTTGAATGGTTCTATTTATATTATTGCAATTTATGATCACTTTTTGCAGGTGCAACACTTGTTGTGTCTGGTGATGGCCGCTATTACTCAAAGGATGCTATTCAGGTACTAAACGCTTACGTTGTCTCTAAATGCAATTAAATTACTAATAGTGCAATGATAAATAAGGCACTATTTCTCTTCTATGCTGTTTCTTTATGATACGCAGTGAAAAGTAACTTCTTATCTGATTTTTTCTGATGACAGATCATAATTATGATGGCAGCCGCCAATGGAGTAAGACGTATATGGGTTGGTCAAAACGGTTTACTTTCAACTCCTGCTGTGTCAGCTGTTATACGTGAAAGAACTGGCGTAGACGTAAGTTTACACTTCTTCAAGCATCATGCGCATGGCTTAAGTTTCCTACAGTTCTAACTTCTAAGATGAATTTGTACTTTCCAAACTTCAAAATCAGGGGTCTAGGGCGTCTGGAGCATTTATATTGACAGCAAGTCACAACCCTGGGGGTCCTCATGAGGTATGCCATATATTGTAGTTATTATTTTTCCTTCATTTTTTTCTGCAATAATTGGGAGCCGGGGGAGTGGAATGGGTGTTCTTTCAGGAGACCTCTGCAAAGATATGACATCCTTTTGTCCCAAAGAAAAAAGATGAAAACTGTCTTGGTCTTTTGCAATAGCTTATCCATTGCCGGTGTTTGAATCACTTTTAGCAGTTAGTTATATTCCTTCAAGAACTCAGCTTAGAATTTCTGTATGTCAGTAGATAGATAGTTTACTCGCGATGTTTTGGTAAAGATGATATCCTTTCTGTTTCTCCTTTGCAGGACTTTGGAATTAAATACAACATGGAAAATGGTGGACCTGCTCCTGAGGCAATCACTGACAAGATATATGAGAACACAAAAACAATAAAGGAGTATTTAATTGCTGATCTGCCTGATGTACTGCTCCAATCTTAAGCCTAATCCTGTAGAATTTTTGTACAATCCTTTTCAGTGGTTTTATGATGGACATTTAGTTTTGTCAATTATGTTCTTATATCATAATCTTTAATATGTGGCAGGTTGACATCTCTACAATAGGTTTAACGAGCTTTAATGGACCTGAAGGACAATTTGACGTTGAGGTTTTTGATTCTGCAAGTGATTACATAAAATTGATGAAGTAAGCTTTCTCTACAGGAAGCACACCTTCCAGCATGTTTTGCTCGTACATTATGGAACTATGGCATATGCAATCACTTAAATATAGTAAATGTACTGAACCCTGACTAAAGAGCTGTACAATGTAGAAGCTCCTAAAGCATAGTGATCTCCATTGCTTGTCTGCCACATAAAAGCTGTTAGATGATTTTTCTTTGCTATTCTATGAGCAATTTATTATAGTTAGGCTCTTTTGGCTATTGTAATGTTCTATCTGATATTCATTTTGTCCGTGACGAGTGCATTCTATCCCCTTTCATTTAATGATCACTTTCTCGACTTTCCAGGTCAATTTTCGACTTTGAGTCTATTCGGAAGCTGCTAACATCTCCAAAATTCACATTCTGGTACATAGAAAATCTTTCTTTGCATATTTGGTGTAGAGAATTCTCTTTTGGCATCTACATAGTATAGTATTGTAGGCTATAACATACTATGTTGTCAATGTTGAAGTTTTGATGCTCTACATGGAGTTGCTGGGGCTTATGCAAAACGTATCTTTGTAGAAGAGCTCGGTGCTCAAGAGAGCTCTCTATTGAACTGCACGCCCAAGGTTTGCCCAACTTCTGCTTATGACTTAAAATCTCCGCAGCAGTTTTGCCCTGGTGGTTCACCTGTTGATTTATTGGTCATTGACTTTATGCAAACAGGAAGATTTTGGAGGAGGACATCCAGATCCCAATTTGACTTATGCAAAAGAGTTGGTTGCTCGTATGGGATTGGGAAAGTCAGATACTCAAGAAGAACCCCCAGAATTTGGTGCCGCTGCTGATGGTGATGCAGACCGCAACATGATCCTTGGTAAAAGGTAACTTCTCCTACGTGAGTGAAATTGTCATCTTGTTTATAACATTCATTTATAACATGTCTTGCTTTATTAGGTTTTTTGTTACCCCATCGGATTCTGTTGCCATAATTGCTGCAAATGCTGTTGATGCTATCCCATACTTTTCTGCTGGTCTGAAGGGAGTTGCCAGGTTCTCTTTCTCTTTCTGAGTATTTGTCTCTGAGTATATAATCGTGTTTTAACTCGTTATTGTTGGTATCTTGAAGAATTGTCAAAGGTCAGGTTTGAGAATTAAAATAAAGTTAATAGTTTAACGTAATCCCAAATTGAATGAGAATCCCAGTGTTAAACAACACATTGAAATTGTAGTGAAGAAACATAACTGCAACATGAGGTAGACATTCATGAATCATAACATGCATTTTTCATAGATAGGTTTTTATTACTGATTAGTAAAACAATCAAACAAATGATGTTAGTGGAAAATGTTGAAAGAATGAAGGTTAAGATAAGAGATTGATGGTAAGAGAGCATCTAATATTGGTTTTCTGGGCTGTATTAATGGAAATTGCAAAAGTTCTTTCTGTATGGATGTTGGTGCAATCGACGCTTGAGCATATTTTCTATGTACTACATCTATGTATCCTTGTGACTTGAGCTTTCATAAGACGAGTGTCATAAGAATATTACATTATGCATTTTGATAGAACAGATTGGTAATGGGTTCGGCCCTTCGGGAACAAAAGAACAAAGAACACAGAAAACTTCATAAGGAGGCAATTGTACTTGGTTCACAATTTATTATAGAGTGTTCACTATTTGCAGCATTTGCATTTTATTTTGTTTTGGAGGTTAAATATCTGAGGTTCTGTTTTATGTTTTGAGATTATTTGTGGATTACAATAAACAGGTTGTATGTTTTCAAGCCTTTCTCTTGGTGGTAATTTCTTATTTTACCTTGACATTGCTACTTGTAGGAGCATGCCGACATCTGCTGCCCTTGATGTTGTAGCTAAGCATTTGAATTTGAAATTTTTTGAGGTAGTCTGCGGTTCCCTCTTTGACTTGTTTATATTTATAAGTATTTTCTCATTAATATTCAATTTTCAAATCACGTATATGTTATTTAAAATGCAAGGTACCTACTGGCTGGAAATTTTTCGGTAACTTGATGGACGCCGGATTATGCTCAATTTGTGGTGAAGAAAGTTTTGGAACTGGTTAGTTTTGACCTTAGTAAATTAATTCGATTTCTTGGAGAAATGTAAATCATAAAGGTTATCATGTTGTAATTTTTCGGCCATTGGACAGGCTCGGACCACATTCGAGAGAAAGATGGAATCTGGGCAGTTTTGGCTTGGTTATCTATACTTGCACATAAGAATAAGGAAAACCTTGGTGGAGAAAAGCTTGTGACGGTTGAAAAAATAGTTCGTCAACACTGGGCTACCTATGGTCGCCATTATTACATTCGATACGACTATGAGGTATGGTTGTATTTTCTGTTAGGCTGTAACGTCCTTACTTTTAGCTACTGTAATACCACGTTGTTGTTAGTGTCGTTGTTTCTATTTTTTTTTTCCTGGGCTAAAGTCATCACGTTGTTGTTTAATTATTACAAATTGTTTCTTGAAGAATGTGGACGCTGGTGCAGCGAAGGAACTAATGGCATACTTGGTCAAGCTGCAATCATCCCTTCCTGAAGTTAATGAGTATGTTTCCTCAATCAAGTTAAACTTACTTTTGATTTGTTGCAAACTCGTATGTAATTGCAACTATTATTTCGGGTGCTTTCACATTTTCTGATCTGAAGATGTATTCTTGTAGTTTTTCTGCCTACTGCAGTGCTGGTTGTCTCTCTTAATCTTATTTTGATGCTCTCAGATTTAGCTACTTTTGACGACAAAGAATATGAAAATGAAAAACACTGACACACATCAATCCACTGCTGAAGGATTATTAAAGAAAACTATTATTAACAGGATTAGCTGAATGAAGACCTGCTACATTGACGATATTGGGAAAGGCATAAGCCATTTATATTGCTTTGCTTTTAGCTTATTATCTTTGTTTTTTATTTTAAAGCATGGTTAAGCCAATAAGCCACTCGATTATAATCTGTCCCTTTAAGCCATTAGGACTTGTCATCCAAACATGGGTGATTCAGAAAGGAACCTTTCAGGTAATCAGAAGCCCAATTAGGTTTTCTGATTTCTGGGGATGGTTCTTTTTCATATTAGGTTTGATTGAACGTTTCAAAATTCCAATTAGTTTGGCAATATTGCTGACAAGGTTTTGGCAGCAGCTATTTGGAATTCATCTGTGTACCTTTGCCGATCGCTTTGACTTCACGGCGCGTAGTGTGATCATTTAGCTAAATTATTAAGTCTCATTGTTAAATCATATACAGGATAGTGCATGGCGCATGTCCAGATGTTTCTAAGGTTGTCCATGGTGATGAATTTGAATACAAAGATTCTGTTGATGGCTCCATTTCAAAGCACCAGGGTATTCGATACTTATTTGAGGATGGGTCAAGACTGGTGAGCTTTAATTCTCACACCTCAAATTGTTTACGATTTCCCCTGAGCATGATATAGCAAATTATGACTCATGCCTTGGAGAGGTTCTCTAGCGATGGGTGGTGAAGTAAATTCTTTGTAAAGACTTCGTTGCCAGTTGCCAGGGTACATTGAGAGCCAGTTTTTCTCAATTAAGCTAAAATACTCGAGGGCCTATCATTTCCTAAACCATTGAAAGCAAGAGTATCATGTAGTCCTCGCTACGAATTGCATTTCTTTGTAAATAATGTTTTAAGATTTCACATATTTCTGTTGTCCTATGAAATCAAATTTATTAACTTTTATCCGGCCGTTCTTTTCATCTTCCGTTAAAAACAATTGCAGGTGTTCCGCCTCTCAGGCACTGGCTCAGAAGGTGCAACCATCCGTCTGTACATTGAGCAGTATGAGAAAGATCCATCAAAAACTGGGAGAGATTCCCAAGAAGCACTTGCTCCTCTTGTGAGTTAGCCGTCATTTTTTCCCATCTTGTTGGTTAACCTTCTGACCGATTCTATGAGTGACTGATCTGTTTTCTTACAGGTTGAGGTTGCTATTAAACTTTCCAAGATGCAGGAATTCACTGGTCGATCTGCCCCTACCGTTATTACATAAATCGAACGTTGCAGTGAGTCGAAACACTTTTCATTTTCTTTGAAATAATAATCAGGTTGGCTAAACGGCTTTGCTTATATATACCTATTGAGGAACTTTTATGTTGATTTGATGCTCCCAATGATCTTTCCACATGTGCTGCCGAGTCATGCGGTTTTTTCCTGCAAACCCAACGAGTGTGTTGTGGACTTAAAACTTGTGATATAATTTTTGGTTCAATAAGTAATGTGAATGTTGTCATAAAACTTGGCCATTGATATTTTAATCTTGCCCGAGCTTTTTATAATTTACAGAATTGAATGCTTTGAAATTTGATTATTGTTGTCTGTTTTTATAGGTGAATCGAGTCTGTTTTTGTTGTGCTTCAAAAATTTTAAGAAAATTGTATTTTCTAGAGTGCTGTCTTGTTATAAAGCGTTTGGTTAAATTTTGATTGGAAAAGTATCGGGGTATCTGTCAGTTGCCAGTAGCACGTGTTCTGGTCTTTGGTCTCGGTGTGGGTCCCGTAGTGGGAGTTATTTTCTTTGGCACTATATAGTATGTTATATGTATGTATTCGCGCGCACACATACTATACACACACTACACGAGAACTGTCTTGACGGACCGATTCCATATGGTATGGAGCCTATGGATTCACGAGGAAAGATGTCTATCAACATTTTTCTATGTAGGTAATTGAATTTCCTTGACTGAAACGTTCTCTCTTGGGTATTCAACATTTTCCTATCTCTTGGTAATCGGGGCAGATAAGATACCGCAACTAAATTTGAAAGATATAAATGAAGTTCAATTGACATAAATTGGAAAATTTATTAAGCAAAAAAGAAATTGTAAATTCTCTCTTACGAGGAGAGAACAAATAATGAAAAAAGAAATGGGTTTTGGGTTGAATTTGAAAGGAATATGATGTCTCATTTTATAGGCTCTTACAAGAAAGTTTTCCTTCTACCCAGTCGTTAGAAACTTTAATTCCTGAAAAATAGTCGGGTTATTTTAAGTCATTATTTCTTTTTCCTTTCCTTTATTAAGGTTTACTAAAGATTGCCACACCATGTTTAACATTCTCCCGCTTGAAGTCATCTTTCAAGATTCATCCCATGCTGCATATGTTTCTACTAGGCTACTAGAGGATCTACACTAAACAAACTTGTTGGTATTGATTGGTTTGGTCAAAGCATCTGCTGGGTTCTCCTTAGTGTGGATTTTAGCATTTCCACACTTGCTTTCTCCACTACTTCTTGATAGAATGATTCTGAACTCCTATGTGTTTAGTCCCGGAATGAATAGCTAGATTCCTTGCAATATGCAAGGCACTTTGACTGTTATAACACAGAAAAATCTTCTCTTGTTTGTGCCTAGGTTCTTCCTTGCAAGCTTGTGTAGCTATCATATATTTTGCTTATGTTGTTGATAAAGCCACAACCGTTCGCAGTTTTAGAACTTAGCTTATAGATCCTCTTGTAAGTGTGTACGCATAGCATGTAGTGGGTTTCTCTTATCAAAGTCACCTGTAAAATCTGAATCGTCATAACCTTTGGCAACAAACTTTGATCCTCCATAACATAATGCAACATTTGAGGTACTCTTGATGTATCTTAGGATCCACTTAATAGTATTCAATGCTCCCATCCAGAATTTGCCATATACAAACTAACCGCTCCCATTGCTTGTGTATTATTCGATCTTGTATAGATCATAGCGACTATTACACTTCCCACGACTACTGCATATGGTACTCGAGACATTTGCATCCTCTCTTCATTGCTAAGATATACTTGAGGAATACTTGAAATTAACACGAAGTGGAGTAGAAATTGGCTTAGAATCTTGCATATTGAAGTGTCGCAAGATGTTCTTCTAAGTAGATTTTTTTTTTTGTTTTGTTTTTTGAGAAAGCCAAATCTTCTTCTCTTAACTGTCTCGGTGAATTTACATCCCTAGAATTTTGTTTGTTGGTCTTAAATCCTTCATATCGAATTCCCTAACCAATTGTGCCTTCAATTCTTAGACACGATCTTTATTGACGCTTGCTACCAACATGTCGTCCGTATACAATAACCAAACAATGAAATCATTTTTATCCTCAAACCTCTTATAGTACGTACAATGGTCTAAACTGAGTTTGTTGTACTCAAGGCTAATAATGAGGGAATCAATTCTCTTGTACCAACATCTCGGCACCTGTTCGAGATTATACAAAGATTTCATCAACTTGCGAACCACGTTCTCTTTGCCTGTTTTTGCAAAGCCTTCTGGTTGGAGAATGTAAAAATATTTTCTTCGAGTTCTCCATGAAGAAAAGCAACCCTCACATCTAGGTGCTCTATATGTAAGTAAAACATAGCACACGTCGTTGGGATTACTCTGATGCTGTGAGTAAAACAATAGGTGAAATATTTAGTTGAAGTCAATAGCTTATTTGTGAGCGTACCCTTTTACCACCTATCTTGTACGATATGATTCCACTTGGTTATTGATATCATGCTTGATCTTCTAGACCCGTTTGTTGTCAATGGTCATCTTTTATTGTGGTAACTGAACAAGATTCCATGTCTTGTTTTTGTGGAAGGCTTCAATCTCTTTTGCATTGCTTCAGTCTCTTACATTATTGCCATCCACGAGGATACATTTGGGCTTTTGGTAGCATTATGGAAAGTTGATGGAGCCCTATCCTCTAGTAAAAGACAACATTTAACATTATTCTCAGCTAATTACATATTCTAAATGCGAAGTTGGTGGTTCTCGATCTTCTTGCTCTGGTGATTCCCAAAAGAAACTGAATCTTCATAATACGACTTATCTTTTACCTGAGCTGTAGTAATCTTTTTCTCATTCGAAGTAGCATTGCCTCCCTTTTCTTGCAATTTGTCCTCTGCAAATGTCACATCTCTAGTGATAACAACCTATCTTATGGCAGTATGGTCCTATGACTTTATCAGCATACCATAAAAAGATGCACTTTCTAGATTTTGGATCCACTTTTGATCTTTCGTGGTTGTTGTGTTTGACGAACACATGGCTTCCAATCGTATGGAAGTGAGAATAATTGGGTGGCTTCTAAGTCCACATCTCTATTGGTGAAGCCATCTTTGGTTAACATTAATATAGGAAAGGAAAAAGAAATAATAGCTAAAATTAACTTGACTATTTTTCAGGAATCAAATGTTCTAAGAATGGGTGGTAGGAAAATGTTCATGGGAGCCTATAAATTGAGGCATCCCACTCCTTTCAAAATCATCCCAAAAACCTCATTCACTTTTTCATTATTTGTTTTCTTTGAGAGAGAATTTTTAATTTGTATTTGTTTAATAAATTTTCTCAATTTTGTGTCATTTGTTCTTCATTTCTCTCTTTCAACTTTATTTTAGATTCTAAAAATAAATATAAGATGATTAGTGAGTTTATAAGCTCTTGGCTCTCTTTTCCTTGCAAGCCGATTTTGAAAGGATGAATTCTACCCAATAGGTTTATAATAGCTAATATCAGAGTAGTTGCATTATAGGCTGGATTAAGATACATTTGTAAATCCGTAAAAATCTTGCTCCCTCCCAATTATCTTACATCTTGACTATTGAATGTCTATGATACTAATCCATAAAAGGTGTAAAGGAAAATAAAGTAACTTTCATTATAGTATTCACTTGTCTATTAGTTGATGTAATGAGAAATAAGGTAATTTTCATTTTAGTGTTTATTAAACTTAGAAATGATGATGTTATCAATATAATTGTTAAAATATTTTGTTAACATAATTACATAATCATTAAATTATAGCACGTGAATTTTAAAAGTATCTAAATAAATTTGACATTTGTTGTTTTTTAGTAGGAAATCAATACCAAGAAGATATGAAAATTGATTTTTCTCTTTATTTACTCTTTAAATTGTGGGGATCACTAAAGTTTTATTATTAATTTTTTAAGTAGATCTAAGATTAAATGAGGAAGAGAAACTTCTAATTCTCTGTTTCCCTTTTATGTGAATTAAACATTCTTTGACCATCAAACTTTTATTATTATTATTATAATGATTTCTCAAAAGAAATAAATTTTTTTTTTAAAATTTATAAACCAAACAAGTCAATAAAGGTATAAGTTTCGGCCGCCCGGCTCAGCCGGCGGCCTAAAGGGAAATTTTGGGCTGGGAAAAGAGAGGCTCTGCCCAGTTCGGCCCTAAGCTCAAAAAATTTAAGGCCGGCTTGAAATTTTACAAGGTACTTTTAAAAAAAATCTATAAAAATATGAAGTTTGGGCCAGGTCGGTCCGACCCTAAAAGAGAGAGAGTCGACCCAGCCCGACTCTAAGCCTAAAATATTTTAGACCAGGCCGGGTTGGACCCAATCCAACAGTAACGGGCTTCGGGCCGGACCGTTTAGCCCAGCGCAAACCTGCACTAGGAGTCAACAACAAATGCTCTCACAATCGGATATTTGAACCACAAGCCATATATTACCTTCTCCAAGCCCTGAACTATACGCAGTAGGTGGACTGTAGGCCGAGATTTGGTCAAAGTCTATTGTCCACGCGCAAAGTTGCTGGCCTTCATTGTCAATGAGGAGTTTTCTTTTTTCTTGGTTAAGGGGGTAAGAGTCAATGAGGACTGGAGTTTGGTTCAGCATTAATTGTGTACTAGCCAACTCTATACGAGTATACTAGTAGAGTTTACTCTGTATGAGTATACTTGTGTATATGGCAGATGTAAGACATTGTCCAAACTTAATCGTCCAATGACTCCAATCCAACGTGTTCCTTTCCTAGCAATTTCCTTTTGGGTATGCAAAAAAATTCGACTACTTTAAAGGCGTAGTGCAAAACAAAAAAAAAGAAGGTAAAGAAAAGTTTGTCGTGACAAATAGAAAATTCGACTCTAATGTGGAAAGTTACCGATTGATGTTAGTATCGAATGATGTTGGCACTGGAATCCACAGTTTAAATGTTTGTAGTGTTAATTTGTTATTACATGCGATGAAAATAAGAAATCTCAACGATTGGTGGGGTAAAACACGAATTTAATAATTGAAAAAGGATTATTAGCTAAAATATCTTAAAACATTTCAACAAGAGAATTGAGATTAAGTTATCTGGTACTTAATAGTAGCTTCTTCCATGTTATTTATGTTACGCTTTGTCTTTTTTCTCTTCTGATCTGGATTATCGGTTGAAAAGAAAAGGAATTATAAGAAATGAGTTTTTGCATGTGTAGCATTTAAACTGTTTTTTCAGCTACTTGTGTGATGAGTTTTCACTTTAAAGTCATTTTTTTCTTCGTTAATTTGACTGGATAAGAACTCAATGCGCATAATAATCCAAGAGAAGTGACCGTACGCTAGTAGAATTGATGTAGATTGTGATGTAATAGATTGCTGTTAACCTTCAGTGAGTTATTATCTTATAGTGAACTTTTCTTTTTCAAGTCCAATTTATCTCTTGTTTCAAGGGAACGTAGCTCATCATATATCCAAATTTCTTATACACACCAAAAATATTAAAATTGCAATTAAGTCCTTTTTAACTAAAGAAAAAATATCAACCTTTTTTTAATTATTTTGAAGAAATGTACACAATCATGTGTTTAATGTATTACTAAAACGTCACAAAGATGTCGCCCAAGCCCGCTGTTTATGTGTTTGGGTGTGTAGATTGTTTTTCCTATATATATACATAAATATATATATATATATATATATATTTATGATATATCCTCACTTAATTATTTTTTTCTGTACTCCTCTAAGAAATTACTATAGCAAAATTTATCGTCACAAATACTTTTTTCCCCTAATTGGCTAGTGGTTCTTCATAAAAAATGCTCCATGTTCTTTTTGTTTTTTAGTGATATCAACTAATATTTACGATGCTCATCTTTTTGTTTTTATTTGTGTGATTGGAACAACATTTTTGCTTTATTTTTAGCTTATGAATCTTTTACTTATTTGTTTGATAGTTTACATGCATAAAATAACATCTTTCCTACCATTTTTTTTATACCAAATTGTAGTTAGCAAAATATAGATTTAGCAACCAAAAATGTTTTGGTCACTAAAAGCGCATTTTCTTTTTAGCATTTTGATGAATAATATTTTAGTTGTGAAAAGTAACCAACCTTTATTCACTAGATTTTTGTCCTCAAATGATATTTTTAGCGTCCAAATTATTTACTAGTAAATGCTTAGTACTAAATCCCTCTATATTATGATGTTTGACTTCATAAACTTTTGCAACTAGTATTTTAGTTGCTAAATCTTCCTTTTTGCTCCCTATAGGTTGGAACTCTCGCCCCGTTTTTCATCTTCACGCTCATCTTGTAAATGATATCCATTATAATTATGATGAAAATTAATTGTATTGCGATTCTCATTTTGACTGTATCTCCACACTGCTATGGTTATTAATTATCTTGTATAAACTTATACTAATAGGAGTGGAAGGGAAATTAAAAAGGAGAATCATTTCACTACATCTTAACGACAACAAGTAATTCACATTTTATTTTTCAAACATATAATATGAACATCATTACAAGAGTAAAATTATTCATCATATGTTGAGATTTTACAAATTTCTGATTACAAGAAAATTAGAGAGCATCTCTACTGTGTACCCTATCTACGGAAGCAAAACAACACACACTTGATGTCATCTTTGTGTCACCATCCCAATTCCCATTAACTAATATGACAATCACCCGTAGACCCTTCCAGTACACACGAAAATGATTTTCTTGAAAAAGTCATCCTTTTCACACCCGTAGACCAAAAAAAAAAAAAAAAAAGACTGCTCTTTTATTTATTTATTTTTTTTTCATTTTAAAGTGTAGACTTCTTAAAGTTATTTCGAAAGACAAAAATGCCCATATCACGCATACTAATCATCTTTCAAATTAGAGAAGTCTACCCTTTAAAAGAAAATACAGTTTATTTTCTAGTTTTGAGGAGGAGAAAATGATTTTTTTTAATTGAAAAAACTTAATCAGCATGAAAAAGCAAAAAATATCTCCACACATGAATTTCACAAACCAGCGGCAAAAGGCACTCCGGTCGCCGGAATCCACGAATCTCCGCCCAAGAAGTTCCCGACCGTAAATTTCCCGGCCTCTGCGGCGCTCGTCAAAACATGATAACCCGGCCAGCTCACCCTCCCTCCGGTGGCAGCTCCGGCTCCGGAGTTCATAAACTCGGCATAATAAAGCGTGCTGAGAGCGAAATTCCCACTCCAGGGAAGCCAACCCTTGGGATCAATAAGTCCATCAAGACTACTTTTCATGATCACCGTCCTCGAGTACTTCTGCCATGGCCGCCCCAGATACGTCTCAAACGAGCCTTGCACTGGCCTCAGGTCAGACGACGCCGTAATACGTGAATTATGAATAATAATACCTGTGTTCTCATTAGGGTCGGTCCTGGCCTGAGACGTGACGGTGTTTCTCTGGTCGCTCATCGGCTTTCGGACGAGGATGTTGCAGTTCTGGAGGATGGCGACCGCGTCGCCGCAGATGAAGTCGACGGTGCCGTAGACGTTGCAGTCGCGGTAGAACTGGCGCTGCGAGTAGACGTAGAGGGTGTCCTGGTAGCCCTTGAAGCTGCAGCGGTGGAAGACCGAGTGGTCGGAACCGGAACGGAGGGCCACGGCCTGGTGTTTTGCCGGCCCCGCGGTGTTCTCGAATGTCATGTCCTGAGCGATGAAGCCGTCGCCGGAAACCCCTGAGGTGTATGGATGTCAAGTAACTTTAAAAGTTGAGGAAATATTGACATTCTATGACAAAAAAAAAATACTTTTACTAGCGTTTGAGATTTTCAACTATTTATTATAAGTTTTTTTTTTATTTTTTTTATTTTTATGTTTTACTTTAAATATGATTATCATATGATTCTAGAAATCTTTTTATATCTTCAAATATTAATTTTTAATAATATATATTTTATAAATTATGTACATAACTTCATTAAAAAATGAAACTTTCTTTGAATCACTATGGGCTAAAATTACAAAATCATCTATATTTGGATGGTTTTTTTTAATGTGTCGCCGAATCCAAATTTTTTTTTTTTTACTTATTTTATTTTTATAACGATGAGTGATCTTAACGTATAACGAAAATGCCTTTTACTTTAATTTGAGCTTATTAAATTGAATAATCAGTTCTTTTTAATAAGTATTATTTTAATAATTTCTAATAATAAGCATTTTCTTATAAATTATTAAATCTTTTTAATTTTTTGCTTCTCCTTAATGTAGTTTTTCTTACTCACATTTTGAAATTTATTATTTAGTATCTTTTTCTTAACTTTTTTGAAGGGAAATTTTCATTTCAAATATCGTTTTCTTATCTAATTTTGTTGTTTATCAATAATTTGACTGTTACGGTTTTGATAAGTATTTTTTGATGAATCGGCTCGTATTAAATGTCAAAAGTTTGACTAGATAATATTTTTGTCAGAAGAAAGTATGGATAAAAGTACATCTTAGATATATATATATATATATATATATAAACACTTAGATGTTTTTTATAATAGTCCCATCAATTAATGAGGCCTAAAGGGAGAAAAAAAGACACAATAGATTAATATTTCTAAGTGCACATACGTCTCTAGGCATGTACATATGTGTAATAAATCAACGTTATGCAAGTGTAACCACGTAGTTCCTATGTCTCTAGTTTATTATTATTTTTAATTATTTTGGCTTTGAACCCTTTTCTTGTTGACATAGCATTTAAATAAGTCATGATCAACTTTTTTGTTATTAGTCTTTCGCATTTTGGCGACGGAGTTAAAATCAAGCTTTACTTTAATTAAACTTTATCCAGTTGTTAAAGTTTCACGATAAATTAGCACATTACTCACCAAAAGTGGCAGATTGAAAAGTTGTTGAACCATCTACGTTGTTCCTATTCCCTGTAACGATTGTGGCGTCTATGCCATCCCCAACAAACATCAAGTTCTTGATATCGTTCTTGATCTCGACATTTTCCTTGTAAACGCCCGCTTTCACGTACACAACAATCCTCTTACTCCCTCCACCTAGGTTTTTTGCTGCCTCCACGGCCTCCGAAATAGTCTTGAAACCACCCGATCCGTCTTGGGCCACTACGATATCCGCTTTTGCTGCCGCCCCACCGGATTGTAGAAGCTTCCGGTCTGCGGCGGAAACCCATTCGGGGAAGCCATCGGAGAGCAGCCGTCGACTGCGAACTTGTTTACTAAACGACGTCGCGGTCGATGGAATAGTAGCCTTGTTGATGGCCAGTGAATTGCTGAGCAACTTCGAGAAGTTGCTCAGCATGGAAGGGAAGGAGTCGTAGTGGGAAGGGATTTGGAAATCGGTGAAGCCGTTTCGGCAAGTATGTTGGTTGGCAAGAGATGCACTTAACCATGTGTGAGTGTCCAAAGGATTCTTGTTGTTGGAGTTCACGGAACGGTTGAGGAGATCAACCGTGTCCTTGTAGAGTTCAAGGCAATCTTGCCACGCCGATTTGCCTCGCTCGCCGAAGGAGTCTGAGTCCATGGTGGAGACGAGGCGGTGGGCTTCGACCGCTTGCTTCATGGTGGCTTTTAGAGCTAAGTCATGGAAGGAGACGGTGGTTTTATCGTCTAGGGTTGAGAGGTGATTAGTGTTGAGGAAATGGTGGCACACTTGGGGATATGGGGTTTGGTTGCATGTCGATATAGTGCTTTTAGTGCCATGCACCACGTACATAGAAAATAGTAGAAAATATGCACAAATTGTGGCTAAAATGACATCATAATTATAATCCATGGAGACCAAATTATGAACTTTTTAGATTGACAATTCTCTATAGAGGTTTGGAATTATAAATGTAGAGAGTTTGAAACTTTGAATATTTCTTTGATTCGATAAGTGGGATGAGAGGCTTGTTTATATAGGCAAAAAAACTTGTGAGCTGACGTGAGTGGTGGTACAACAGACTTTAGTTGAAACGCGTTAGATTGTTCTTTTCTTTTTATTGTTTTCCCCTCCAATTCTTTCTTTCTATCTTTCTTTTACATATCCAAAATAAAATATGATGTTTACGTGAGAGTATAGAATCTTATGGGCTTCAAATTATTATGTTGATTTCTTGTTTAGGGAAAAAGGTGTTAAATCTATATCTCGTTGTTTTTGAGTCATGCCATCGAGGATTTAAATTGAAGCGAAAACACCACGCCACTAGTTTTAATAGGATTTTAAGTGTTTTTTTAAATCTCTTAAATATTGTCCTATCTTTTCAGGATATAGGTGATGGAAGACTAAATTGACTCATGAGCTTTTGTACTTGTACGTATCCTTTTTGGTAATTGGTCAGCTTATAACGGACAGGGATTGCTGAACGTTCCATGCAATTGCGTAGCTAGTGAGAGCTAATTATTATTTTTTAAAAAGATGGATTAGTTATTAGTATTTCTTTATTTATACATATTATGATAATTTAAAAGACACACACACTATATGGATATGACTCCTGTGAGATAAAGTTTAAATTGATTTATTTAATTGGAACACCCCGTCCATGGTCACTGAAATAATTAATAATCTAATAATGGTTCCTTTTGCTTAATAAAAACAATCTTATAATGAACCTCTGAGAAAAATTTACGAAGTTATTTTTTTCTCACTTTGTTTGGTTTTCAGTTTCTTTCAATCTATCTGGAAAATGATCAAATTCCATTCCTATTAGAGAAAGCTAGCTTTTGGCCGGTTAATAGATGCTTTTCAAATTAAGTTTGTTAGTTAGCATTTGGAGTAAGAAACACATACTATGTCTCTATTTTAATATTGTCAAAATAGAATAAGTCTAGAAATATAACAGCATGCAATATTGGATATTATGCATATTTGCATCGTTATAGAATCCATATCTATATGGAGTTTTTAACAATATACACACAACATGTATATGGTCGAGTTTTTAATGATTAGATTTCTATTAGTGGTTGTTTATCAAATATAAAAAGTCAGTGATCATATTGAACCCATTAAAAGTCAGTGATCATATTGAAAACCAGAAAGTACCAAACTGTCCACATTGGTATATAGCAGATGAAAACTTTTCTTTCTTATCTTAACTCTTAAGTGGGGGTTTTCATCTCAACCATAATTTTTCAAATACACATGAGGCGGCTCGTGAAATTTTGGCCATTTGATTAAGATGGGATTTTTATCTCTTGTTAATTAGGTGAACAGCAACATGTTTTGCTTGACGTGGTTCTTGGTAGGTTTGTAATTTCTAGTTCCCGTCTAGCCTTGTTGTCTTTCAAATTAGAGAAGTCCACCCTTTAAAAGAAAACACAGTTTATGTTCTAGTTTAGAGGAGGAGATAATTATTATTTTTTGTAATTTCTAGTTCCCGTCTAGCCTTGTTGTCTTACAGAGTTCTAATGACCCTAAAGTATAATCCAACTTTATTAATTATAACTGAACAAAAAATAAAGCTTCTTGCACGTGGCGTTTCGCTGGCCTTTCATGCTGATTTTTTTTTTTTGAGATAGTCAAAGATGGCAAATTACGGTTGCAAAACTAGTATGCAAAAAGAATGCTAAATATCTTTTTCCAAAGGAAAAAAAGGCTAAACACGTTCTTTTACTGTTACTGTATCCCCTTATTTTTTCTCCTTTCATACATGCCAATAATATCATATCACGTTAATTAAAAAATCATGATAATTAATTAACATGACATGATCTTATTAAACACGAATAATGGAACATATAAGTCCAATCTGCCTTTTTGCTAGGCTTTTTTCGTATAATTATTCTGAGAGTTTTAAAGATTAATTAGATTCAAATCTTTTATTTATTTGTTTATAATGTTCTAATGCGGTTAACAGAGATATAATGGGTCTTCTTTGCTATAGAATTTGTAAAAAGCTGACTTCTTAAAGTAAATATGTACTCCTTTTTTCTTTAGACTTTTTCCCATTAGGTTTTGGCTTGATGGTTTTTAACGAAGCATATTTATAACTTTCCTTCCATGAATGAGTTAAGGCTCTATCTTTTGGAGTTAGCTTCCAATTTTATAGGTTTTTTGTTCTATTTTTCCATTTGTTTAGTCTTTTTGCCTTTGGGTTGTCTTGTTGAAACATTAACTTTATTTTTTTATTTTAATAATTTTGAGTGAGAGTTTTAATATAGGACGAGATTAGTTAGTAGATGCCAATCTAATTGGGATGTGGTTACAATTTTTGATACCAGCAGTTTATTCAAAAAAAAAAAAAAAAACTTTATTGTTGTTTTAAAGGAAATTACGAGTTTGGAAGCTTGGGCATTCTTTTTGTTATGAATGATCAACGCGAGCATTTTTCCTCCTAGTTGATCTATAGTAATAACCCCTATCATAAAGTCGGGGCCAAATTTAGCATCATATGACGCATATCTCAAAAGATTTAATATAAGAGTACTTGCATGGAAACTACTTATAACCTAATTTGAAATGAACAAACATTTGATTTTTGTTTCTTGTCTACACAGATAGTTATGAAAAATTTAATTCAATTTACTTAGCCGAAAAGTCAAAATTGACCAGTTTATATTTATATGACCGGCAAACTCTTAGTACCTTCCTTCCAATATTATATTAAAGAAAAAGTCAAAGTTGACTGGTTGATCATCAATTAGTAGAAAAGGATTTGGATTGGTGCGAATTTCCACAATTTATCCTTAAACCGATCTGAAAGCCCTTTTTATGGCCCTGGCCTTCTACTTTGTCATTTGTAAGGGAACTAGAACTAATTCTCCTCACAACATGCATGATATTGATAATTACTTTTAAAATAATTACACAAAATGTCTATTATTGAAGGCCTAATTTTTATTTGGCTAGAAGGAGCCTTTTCTTCTGGAAATATCTTGACCCAACGTAGACAGTAGAAAACCAAGTCTTTTTTGTTGTTGTTTTTGTTGTTGTTGTTGTTGCTGCTGCTTGAAAAGCAAGTCTCTTAGATAAACTGAAAATTAACTAATCTAAAGTGGTATATACAGGGAATTCTCAGGTAGTTTAGTGGCTGTTGGAGCTGTAGAAGAGACAAGTCCCATGCTATTTCAGACTGTAAGGTTCCGTTTATTTCATAAATTTGAGTTTAGAATTCAAATTTTGTTACAGTAGAAAGTTCTAAAAAACAGTCACATTTAATTTTTTTACTACAGTAAAAAGCTCTCATATAAAGTCACATCTTAACTTGAATCAACGAACTAAACGAGACCTAAATACTGTAAAATCTATGGGCATAGATGTCTTTTCATGTGATCAGTTACTGAATAAAAATAATTCTGAAGTGAATTGTCATGAAAATGAAAGACAACATAACAAAGTTATGACAGATTGTAACACTTAATAGCTGTTAATCAATCAAATTAAGCATTCAAAGTAATCCAAATTATAGTTTAGCTATACACAGAAATTGTACATGTTAAAACTAACATGTAACATATGCTCTTGGTGATGATTACTATATCTAAACTATATCTAATCATCACCAAGACCATATGTTACATGTTAGTTTTCAAAGTAAGCATTCAAATAAGTACACAACTAGGCATGTTTGAGCAATCTGGCATGCAGCAATTTGTTGTCCAAAAGCGGTAATGATATTCACAATCTACAATTGGTGTATCCATTAAGTAAACCATCTCGTAATTGATCTGAATCCTTATTTTAAATACCAAGACGTCGTGTATGCTCTTTATGAAGATTAGATTCAACAACTACACAAACTTAGAGGATTGGTTTCTGTTTTTTCTTTGAATGCATAGGAAGAATATACTCTCAATCAGAGTTGAAACTAATTAGAAGTTATGATATTTTGAACCTTGAGTTGTCATAAATGTGGGAGAGAGAGAGAGAATAATTTGTTCTAAGCCTCCACTCATTAGGTTAAGAAATACATGTTACTGCCGAAATAAAAATCAATTTACATCTAACATAAGTTTCATGTTACGTCATTATCCTATCATAAATATAGGCTGTTAAGATCGACAGAACGACAAAAAAAGAATGAAGTTTTGAAACTTCAAAAAGGTAATGACGGACTATAGAGCGCCTTTGGTATGTGTGTGTGTAACAATATGCATATATTCGAACTGCAACCATTTGTTCTACTCTGGCCTTACATAATTTGAAAAGCGGGTTTTTTAGGTACCTAAAGTTACAAAAATGCCCCCATACATCACAACAGATGTTGGGCAACCGGCCAGTTGAGAAAAAATAGGTCGATATGGAGATAACAGCCGTGTTTGAAATTGATCCCGTTTTTATTTTTTACGTTTTTTGAGAAAGAAAAAATGAAAATGATTTTTTGGTTTAGTGAAAATGAGAGAAATAAAAAATAATTTTTAGTAGTTTTTCATTTTTTGTTTTCGTTTTCTCCTTTCTCGAGCACAAAGATATATATATATTAATGAGTTTTTTTATACTGAAAATAATATCTAGATAAAATTACCAAACGTATTGTAAAAAATGATTTTTCTCTAAGATTAAAAACGTTTTCATTTTCATTTTTATACAAAAAATAAAATCATTTTGAAACGAGTTCCAAACGCGCCCAAAAGGAATATTTTCTTAATCCCGTCGAGAAAGGGAGCCGGACACTAAAAAAAGAATACTTGCTTATCAGTCATTCTGTAGATAACTTTTTAATTGAATTTGGTAATGTTCTAATTGATTTGAAAAAGAAAACCACATATTTAACTTTATTTTTTGGTTGCTGATTTTATTACCCTTTTGTGTTGAAAGAAATACGTTTTTTGTTTTGTTTTTGGGGTGTT